GTACCATAACTGCAGCATTAACTGCAGGATCACCATCAGTTACGAAAACTCTTGGTGGTATACTGGTTGCTTCTTTTGCACATTGAAAACCCCATTCATAGGAGAGCTGTGTTTCATCATCAACAATCGCCTGAGCTACGATTCGTGTCTTTAAATTATTGTCTGGAGTGACGAAAAGAGACAATAGACGATTGTAATGGTTAGTTTTGCAGGTATTATCATACATGACAACATCATGATAGTGTAACCACAAAATTTGTTGTTCCAGACTCATCCAAAAAAGATGTGTTAACGATGAAGTAACTGGATAAACTTCATTGAGATTACTCATCGTAAATCTCCAATTTTTTTATCGTGAAGTCTCTTTAACAATAAACCTGTATCCTCTTCGCCTGGTGTTGCTTCACGACGAAATTTATCAATGGCGTTATAAAGATCGGGCCGGTATATTCTTGTCTTGAACTTTTCTCGAATAATTCGGTATTGTACTGTTGCGTTCACTTTAGCAACAACGGTTAAAAATCGAATTTCTTCAAGAATTCCTTCCGGCAATTTTCATAATATTAGAACGAATTTACTTGCTGATGGATGACACTCGTGCCCAATATGAATATCGTTAAATTTTGTGACTTCTAAACAGCCCTTTCCCTTCTTAACCCAAATATTAACTAGTCATGGCGACACAAATACCTTCACTTTATTACTTCATTTGTCATTTTATCGATCTTTCTGCCACCACCAATTCGTATCCTATGACCTTTAGCGGCCGCATACCTTTTCATGAACTTTGCAACATGATCCCAACTTTGAAAAGATTTACCAACAAAAAGGTTCGTATCCTTTTCTATATCCGCAATTTCATCAGATATACTACGATAAAAATGTTGTTTTTATTAGACTTATATCACCCAATTTATAATACGATATTCTAAAAATTTAATTACTTACCTATCCGTATCAGAAAAATCTTCTGCACTATCATACTCTAATAATGCTTCATATTCTTTGTCTTGTATGCTCGATTCTCCCATATTATGCAAACTCTTATTCAAGAGTATTCAAAAATGTGTTTATATGAAAAGTGATGAGAAGTCAAAAAAGAACTTAAAAAAGCTACCAAATAGAATTTTCACATTGAAGCAAAAAACGTTCAATTATTATAAGAAGGTAATATATGTCTTCCACTATGAATCCAAGTCCTCCCAAATAAAAATACTGCCACATCAAATTACCTATTCTTTAGGACTCAAAAGAAGCCAAAATCGAAAAAAGTGATATCAAAAAAGAAACTAAAAAAGCTACCAAATAGAATTTTTACATTGCAAAAAACGTTCAATTATTATAAGAAGATAATATATGTCTCCCTCCACCATGAACCCAAATAAAATACTGCCCTCACCAAATTATCTATTCTTTTGGACTCAAAAGAAGCCAAAGTCGAAAAAAGCTGGACGTTTAGGTTATTATACGAAATTTCGTATTACAGGCTGAAATTAGCGTCTTCCGACACATGCAACATGTGAAATTGATGAAAAATTTCGTAAAGAAGTGACACGAAAAATTTCTGTGACTCGCAATACAAACGTAAACGCGGTACACGAAAATTTCTGTGACTCGCAATACAAACGTAACGCATTACACGATCAAAATTCTCGTGACTCGCAATACAAACGTAAACGCATTACACGATCAAAATTCTCGTGACTCGCAATACGAACGTAAACGCGTTACATGATCAAAATTCTCGTGACTCACAATACGAACGTAAACGCATTACACGCATTACATGATCAAAATTCTCGTGACTCGCAATACGAACGTAAACGCATTACATGATCAAATTCTTGTGACTCGCAATACAAACGTAACGCATTACACGAGAAATTTTTCGTGACTCGCAAAACGATAAATTTAATTGGTTGAATATATTACTTAATGCTTAAATTTGATTGGTTAATCAGGGGTCGCCATGGCGATCGGGGTCGCCAATTCGATTTTCCCTTAATATTTTATTAAAAAATAACATAATTTTTTTAAGTTACTAGTAAATTTGCCTACTAGACAATTCAAAAGTAATAAACTAATTCAATGTATTAATAACGTAACTTTTAACTAATATAGTGAATTAATTTAATACTATTAATATTCTAGTACTAGCTATAGCAATAAACTTAATTATTAAGATTATTTCTTTTATGAAAAAGACAATAAAAATGTTTAAGAATAGATTAAAATATTTTTAAAAGTAAAAGAAACTAATAAATAGGCAAATAATAAAAGAGATATAATTGTAGTAAAAAATGTTAAAAAAAAAAGTAGCTGATTAGTATAATCTAATAAATATAATAATTATTTAATAGAATAAAAATGTTAATACTAGATTTAATGAAAAATTTTAGCACAATTCTCATCTTAAGAAAAGTTACATAATAATAGTATGAATTAATAAATTTAAAATAAGTGAACAAATAAATTGAAACCTATACATCTAAATTTAAGAAATTAGCAAATAGGATAAATAGGATCCGCTTACTTTTAGTAGAGGTCACCCACAAGTCTAAGGTAAAAATTATATAGAATAATCAAAAAAACTGGTTGAATTTATAAGGTAAATTTACTTAATATTAAAAAATG